TTATATTTATATTATTCATTTCACCAGAGAACCTCTCACCATAAAGGTTAAAACCCAAATGAGAAATGTAAGTGATTTATCTCAATAACATACAGAACACATTCATGATGATAAAAACAATTTATTTCGTTTTATTACAGTTATTCATATTTCTTAAGGAATTCTTCATACGCTTCCTTAGCATTAATGTTAGTACTAGTGAATGTTTCTCCCGTGTCTTCATTCTTGTATCGATATTCTAGCGGGTCACTGAATAGGACGAAGCCAGTCTTGGCCACACGAGGTTCGATCTCTTTCCATTCGAAAAATCCACAGCTGTCTATCTGAGGGCAACAGTAAAACAGGCGGTTCTGGGTGGGTCCTTCTTTTTTCACTTTACGTACGGTGCATACCATCCCGTGTTTGCAGCGTGGTCGAGGGCTTTCGTAAATGTCTCCCCATTGCCAAAATTTGCAAGGATCATGTCGATCAGAACACGTGAAGAAGGGTCTTCCATAATTTTCTTTCATTTTATCTTTTACCACACGTAATTTGGCTAGTCTCTGATGTGTTGGGCAAATGGGATGATTGGAACCACTATTCTGACAGGCTTCCATTGCTCTCGTAAACAGATAACAGTCTTCGTCATGGCAAAAGAACTCGCAGCTCGGTGTTTCGCCACAAAACCAAAACGTACCACGAGCAGTTGTAGAACAAGCAGCTGGTTTACCGTGAAAACATTCCATCGTGAGTGTTGAATACAGACTATGCAGGTGAAAGGACACTAGCTGTATTTATAGTGATGTTACTGCATTGTAATGCTAATCGATCACATTTGGCCCAGACCTGCCCGCGTTAATTGGTCGCGCTACCCGTCACAGTTGGCCCACCGCGTTAATTGGTCGCGCTACCTGGCCCAGGGTTAGGGTTAGGGCCAGCAAAGTTACGTCACATATTTTGCATACTAATTACTTTCGGAGCAGCGTGACTCATTGGCGGCATCCCTTTGAACTCCATATGGGGGGTATTACTACTTTTGTTCTATTTTATTTTAGGGATATTTTGGTTTACGAAAATAGAATAACGATTATTTTTAATATTCACGTAGGATTATGAATTATTCAGAAACCCCCTAACAGGGCCTCAATAGATAAAAGCTGGTTCTCGTTATTACATGCTCAAGTACAACTCCTGATGATTGTACATTTGGTAGATACTATTATACAATTTTTACCCCTCATTTGTTGTCATGCCTTACATGAAAAAGGCTCATTTATTAACATATATAATGTATACTTGTATAATAGTATATATTTTTGTTGTTGATATAAAGTGTAAAGATCATTGAACAAAATCATGTCTTAATGGGACATTTTATTACATTACCTAGTAAGCTAAAGATGTGAACAATTACTAGCAAAGAACATGTGAGAAAAAGAGATGCCTTGAAGGAGCAGGATTTGTATTTACAGGCTCCGGGACAGCAGAATACCCGTCCACTTTGACATATTACACCTGTTATTTCCTTGTAAACATGGCGAAATGAGGAAAGTATGCCAATTTCAAATGCTTCGTTCTTCAAAGACTCACATTAAATTTAATCACGAGCAACATATTCTTGGAGTTTTAACATATCAGGAGCAACATATTCTTTAAATTTTAATTGTGAACTGTTTTGAAATAATTTTTTAATTTATTTATTTGTTTAAACAAGCTATCAAAAGTGGACGGGTATTCTGCAATCCCTTCTTGCTGCTTTTCGTAGTCTCTAGCATAGGAAAAACTGCGAACCTTTATATAAAGTTTAATAATATTTTCAAGACAAAGCTTGGTAGTTTGTTTCGGCAAGTCCTTGCATCCATGCAAAATGTTTTCCCACAGTGACTTAAGCAATGGTGACTCCAGTGCTTTATTACATAATGTGTCACATGGAATAGTACTAACCACTGATGTTTGCTGGGCAATAAACTGTCTAAATACTATTTCCACAACCTCCAAGATTTGCACTAGATCACTACATGGTGTCACTAGTCCACCTCTACTTCGTGTGTCAATATATGTGTTCTCAACACTGGGACGTTTCATGCTCTGTAACACAACCTGGACCTCTTCATTTGGTTTACTCGAGCACTGTTTTTGTAATTTCGCCAATACGTAGCCAGCAATATATGATAAGGGTCCACGTTCATATTCGCTTAGTTCTGTTACATGTTCTGTGCTTTCACTTGAAGTGCCAGATTTCTGCTTTCCACTGGTAGACTTGAACAAAGCTACTAGGTAATCAGATATGCTTATCATAACCAGGCTACAAAGTGGCTGGGTTTTGCATTTCAGGAGGGCAGATGTCTTGGGAATAAACTCGTAAAATTCGACGAGAAACTATCTTGATTTCGTTTCTTCCAAAATCGTTGATAAACTGGCGAGACAACTTCGTAAAGGTTATCGTTCGAAGTTACTTTCGCCAAGTCCGAAGTTATTCTGTGTCCCAATAACCCTCCTTTGTTATCTTTGCTTTTACGTTATCCACGATAGACATCAATTCATCTTTCTTAAGCGAAGGAATGTTTGCATTTGCCGTGACTTTACTGCCATGCCTTGCGTTTACAGGCCTCGTTAGGCCAGCTTTCTATTTACAAATCTTGTCGCAATTTTCGCATGGAAACATTTTTTCGCCAACTATCTCCGTAGCAGCTTCAACAAAAATGGTTTCAACGGCCTGCTCGTCTTCGTCCATAACGGCCATGGTGAGATTTCAAAATGAAAAGGCAAGCTGGATTCTTCATCGTCCCCGTCGTCAACAAATGGCAACTCATCGGGTACGCTCCTATTTCCTTCGATTTCTGCCTCTACACGCTCAGGGATAGATTCAATCGCTTCCAAACTTTTCTCCATCGTCTTACTCACATAAAACTATCGTAAAACGGCTATTTCGGCTCCAGGATTAAGAAACGTTTCGACATATTTGAGAAAATCAGCAAAACTGTAATACGATCTTATATAAATCTTTGAAGCGCGTCCCCTTTCCTTCGCACGTGATATTTGTTTCCTTTGTGCCTCGACATAAATGCCGCCCGCTGCGATTTTGCTTTGAAGTTTGCCGGCTCTCCTAACCATCTCAGTCTATTAACTGTGGTTTGACTGCGCTGCCGCTGTTTTAATATATTTTGAGAAGAAAACAACACCGTACCGTTCGATTCAGCGTAAGAAATTGTACTTACGAATGTCAAGTGTATTACTAAACACCCGTATTCTACCGATTTATGGCCTTTGAAAATGAAGCGAAACAAATCACTCGCACTACGTTTGTCCACAGGTTTGTCCTTGTATTTGTAATTCCTAATGGCGCAATAGGGATAAAAGTACCACCGTTCGATTCAGCGTAAGAAATTGCACTTACGGATGTCAAATGTGTTACTAAGCACCAGTATTCTAGCGATTTATGGCCTTTGAAAATGAAGCGAAATTGTATTGTTGAAAAATCTCTCGCAGTACGTTTCATAGACTCATAGTGTTTTGTAATGCCTAATGGACCAATAAGGATAAAAATACCACCGTTCGATTCAGCGTAAGAAATTGTACTTACGGATGTCAAATGTAGTACTAAACAACAGTGTTCTACCGATTTATGGCCTTTGTCTTTGAAAGCCAAGCGAAATTGTAATGTTGCCAATCGCTCAATACGAGGCTCAATATTTATATTATTAAATTAAATTATTTTTAAAAATGCAGTACGTTTGACCTTTGGCATCATTGGTTTTCTCTTTTTCGGCCGTATACCAGTGGATTCGTCTCACTCCTCGCTTTATTTTGAACGTTTTAAAGCGCAGTTTAATCCTATACCAACTGGCGGCTGACAGTTTTGAAGAATGTAGCGAGTAGCGACGTAGCGTACCGACTTTACTTGTAGCGCCTACCGCATTTTAGTACTGTGTTATTAGCCTTTCGCGCTCGTATTCGACTTTTTCTCTTAGCTCGGGGAAAACCTTAAATCTCAATTGAAAGAGCTGTGTACAGTATGTATCATGTACATTGTACAGTAATGTGCGTAGTTGTATAGCCCCCTCCACAGAGCGTCTTGTTAACTATTAATATGTTTTCGATCTGATTTTTCCACGTTATAATTGTTCGTCAACAATTACACCTATTAGGTTTTTGTACAGTTTACCCTATTTATTATATACATGACAAAATTACTGCAATCTGATTGGTTAAGAGGAGTGCAATTATTTCATTAATTATTTATCTTCTCTAATCAGTGGCAAATACTGCAATTTCATTGGTTTACAGGAGTGCGATTTGAGCATTAATCGCACCTTTTCTGAGCTGTAATCGCACTCTTGTCTACAGCCAATGAAAATCAGTCTAGTATTTACACTAGCCAATCAGCACTCAGGCACAGATGAAGTATATACCAGATGTGTAACTTAATAGGAATTCGTGTCCTCAAATTTCCCCAGATGTACACGTCATGCTCACGCCATGACACTTGCTAGGAAGATGGCGTCCTGGAAAACATGAACTTTTGCATTTTATTGCGGCTTTTTTGGATCGAAATTTATGGATTAAACAATCAAGAGCGTCATTTTTTGAATGTTTAAAGTTGTTAAAAGCAATTACAGTTGTGGAAAAGGTGTTGAAAGCATTTTGAAAGCAATGACGTATTACCAAATGACGAATTGTCACGCGAGCGACACTTGCTAGGAAGATGGCGACCGTGGGACAACTTTTTTACTGAAGTTACACATCTGTTCTTACTTAATCCATGCCTAGACTGACCAGGAGAGTACGGGTACGGGGATTTGGAACGATGACGGGAGAAGGCTGCCACAACATGCCCTCTATGTAAAAGGACTCACAATTTGAATGACTGTGAGCTGTTCTTGAAGAAACCGTTGAAAGATCGACGGGACTTTGTGAAAGAAAACAAATTGTGCTACGGTTGTTTTGGCGATCAACATGTTGCTAAAAATTGTAAGAAAAGATAATCTGGTAAGAAATGCAGCAAGAATCATCCAACATCGATGCATGACGATAACTGGGTGAGCAAGGCGAAGATCGACGGCAAGAAGGATGATGATCAGCCTCCTGGAGATCCGCAAGTTTCCACTAATCGAACTGCCATTTGTAATGTAACAGAAGCAGGGGATATATCTGTCAGCATGGGAATTATACCTGTATGGGTGTCTTATAAAGAAGACCCGACTAACAAAGAGAAAGTCTATGCTCTGCTAGACAACGCCAGTGACGGAACATTCATAAGACAAGACTTGGCGCGAAGGCTCAATATAGAAGGAAGTTCAACAAATCTTATTCTAACGACTATGCATGGATCCAAAAACGTTCGTACCGAAGCTGTTGATGGGTTGGTCGTGACTAACTTCACAAATGAAGACACTAGTTGTGGAGCTACCTAGGACCTATACGAGACAAGTCATCCCAGCAGACCGCAGTGAAATACCACAGCCACAGGCAATAAGTAAGTTTCCCCATTTGGCCGAAGTAAGTAAGGAGATGCCGCCCTTTATGGAAGATGTGGACGTCGGACTCTTGATTGACTTGAATTGTCCCAGCGTGTTACGGCCAAGAGAAATCATCTACGGACAACAGGAAGAACCATATGCAATTCGTTCACTACTCGGATGATACATCAACGACCCAGTTTACTCATCAGAGAGCCAAGGTCTTCATTGCAACAGTGTTCGGCTGAAAGAAATTGCGCCAACAACTGCGAAAGGATATGTTGTATCGCAGAGAATGATCAAGGAACAGATCACACCACAGGCAGTCAAGCAGATGTTTGAATTGGACTTCTCTGAAACAGAAAGAGGGACAGCTATGTCACGCGAAGATAGACGGTTCTATCATGTAGTGGAAAACGGAATTGTTCACTTGGAAGACCAGCACTATGAAATGCCCCTACCACTCAAAGATCAGAATATCAAACTACCGAACAACTACGTGCAAGCAGAAAAACGCCTGAATAGTCTGAAGAAGCGCATGCAGTCTGACGAACGGTACTACAAGGACTACTGTGGTTTCATGTCAGAGACAATCTCGAGGGAATATACTCGCAAGGTGGATAACAACCTCGAATCTGCAAACGGAAGGACATGGTATCTGCCACATCATGGGGTTTATTATACTCAGAAACAAGATAAGGTGCGCGTGGTCTTCGATTGTTCAGCCAGATATGACGGACAGTCCTTGAATGACAACCTTTTGCAAGGGCCCGACCTGACTAGTAATTTAATTGGCGTTTTAACGAGGTTTCGTTAAGAGAAGTTTGGGTTCATGGCAGACATTGAGAAAATGTTCTTTCAAGTTAGAGTAAGAAAGGAAGACCAGAATCTCCTCAGATTCCTGTGGTGGCCTGATGGAAACATGGAAAGCAAACCAGAAGAATACTGTATGACGGTGCATTTGTTTGGAGCTGGGTAATCACCTGCTTGTGCCAATTACGCCCTCAGACGCACTGCTGATGACAACGAAGCCGAGTATGGCGTCACGGTAGCAGACACTCTCAGAAAGAATTTCTATGTCGACGATATCCTAAAGTCAACCCCTACGGAAGATGCAGCTGTTGACCTTTCAACAAAGGTAAAGGAAGTATGTACCAAGGGCGGTTTCAAACTGACTAAATTCGTTGGGAACACAGAACGCATTATCAAATCAATCCCTAAAGAGCATCACGCCGAGAACGTGAAGAATCTATCACTGGGCCAAGATAAGCTTCCGATAGAAAGGGCGTTAGGGGTACACTGTGCGTAGAGTCTGATGTCTTCAAATTCAGGATCCTGCTGAAGGACAACCCATGTACCCGCAGAGGGATTCTCTCCACTATAAGCTCCATTTACGACCCTTTAGGATTCATCGCGCTAGTCGTGCTCTTTGGTAAGAAGATACTACAAGATATCTGCCAAGCAAATAGTTGAGATGAACCAGTTGACGACGCCACAAAGAGTAAATGGGAGAAATGGCGTAGCGAACTTTATCTGCTCGAAAGGTTAGATGTACCTAGAAGTTTCAAGCCGAAGGATCTGGGGAAGGTCGTATCTGTTCAACTCCATAGTATGTCCGATGCTTCAACAACTGGTTATGGACAATGCTCCTATTTAAGATTGAATGACGAGAACGGTAAGGTACACACTTCCTTCGTCATGGGTAAAGCTCGAGTGACGCCAAGAAAGTCTGTAAGCATACCAAGATTGGAGCTTGCCGCTGCTGCAATATCCGTAAAGGTCGCCAATACAATCAAGGAAGGGTTAGAGTACGAGAGAATCGAGGATCATTACTGGACAGACAGCAAGGCTGTTCTCGGATTCATCGGTAACGGGGTCCAAATAATTCATGATCATTCAGATCCTTCACAATGGCACTATGTAAAAACATCATCGAATCCAGCAGACGAAGCCTCGAGAGGAATTAACGTTAGCGAGAGAGTTCGTCGAGAAGTCAAAATGGATCGAGGGTCCAGAACTCCTGCGCGAGCCTGAAGAAGGGTGGTCAAACGTTGAAGAATCGGGTGATACCCTTGTTCAACCTCTACCGGAAGTAAAGAACATGAGAGCAAATTCGCAAGAAGTAAAGAAGGGAAATTGTGGCATTCTCGACAGATTAGAAAGATTCTCCAGCTGACATAAAGCAAGGAGTGCGGTTGCCTATTGTTTGAAGTACAAGAAGATCCTCAAGGACAGGGTGAATTGCAAGAAATCATACCAAGGAAACGAGTCATACAAGGAAAAAGGCACCAACAATAGCAGCACGAACGTCGCGGTAGACCTTTGTGTAGAGGATCTAGAAGCAGCTGAAAGAAAAATCATTAAACAGATTCAGAACGTTGCATTTCCTACTCAGTTGGAGACCCTTCGCGGACTTCAAGGCAAACCGAACTACGGTACACGAGAATCGGACAAGGAAAAAATGGGAGTATTGAGGAGAACGAGTTCTCTTTACACCTTGGACCCGTTCGTAGACGAACAGGGAGTTCTCAGAGTTGGAGGGAGAACAAGGAGAGCAAGGTTTTCAGAATCTCCCAATAATCCAGTCATCTTGCCAAAGTCAAGTCACATTACGTCACTTATAATCAGTCATGTCCACAACAAGACACATCACAGCGGTAGAGGAATCACACTCAATGAACTTCGCTGCAGTGGGTACTGGATCATGATTCAAGGTGCGTCAAGTGTCGTTACCTCAGAGGCAAAACGGGTGAGCAGAAGATGGCTGATTTGCCACGGCAACGCGTAGAACCCGCGCCACCCTTCACGTATTGCGCGGTGGATTATTTCGGGCCTTGATATGTAAAACGAGGAAGATCAATGGTAAAGAGATACGGAGCATTATTCACCTGTTTAGCAAGTCGTGCAATCCATATTGAAGTCGCTGACACTATGGAGACGGATTCGTTTATCAAAGCGCTAAGGAGGTTCATTTGTAGAAGAAGCCCAGTCCAAGAAATTCGCTGTGACAGAGGAACGAACTTCATCGGTGCGGAAAACGAGCTCAAAAGAACAATCGAGGAGATTGATGACGAAAAGGTGAAGACAGAGCTACTGAAAGACAACATCGATTGGATTAAGACTCCAGCCTCCGCGAGCAACTTTGGAGGCGTGTGGGAAAGACAAATTCGGTCAATCAGGAACGTCATCAATGCGCTTATGAAGGAACACGGGACTCAAATGGACGAAGAAATCTTGAGAACATTCCTATGTGAAGCAGAAGCTACAGTTAACAACAGACCTTTCACATTGGAAACCCTCAACGATCCACTTTCTGAACCACCATTATCTCCAAGCATGCTTCTTACAGGAAAGACGAAGCTTGTATTGCCCCCGCCGGGAGAATTCAAGGGAGAAGACATGTATTGCAAGAAAAAATGGAGAAGAACGCAGCATTTAGTGCAAGAGTTTTGGCAGAGATGGAGCAAGGAATACTTGCAACAACTGCAATCGAGATCCAAGTGGACGCAACCAAAGAGAAATTTTACGACGGGAGATGTTGTCTTGCTGCGAGAAGTTCAATATCCAAGAAATAAGTGGCCCCTGGCTAAAGTTGTACGTGCTCATCCAGATGATCAAGGCCAAGTTAGATCGGTTACGGTACTGACGCCGAATAGATCTATGCTCGAAAGACCATTAATAAGCATGTTCTGCTCTTAGAGTCACAATAGACTGGGATTCCCCAACGAGGAGCCGGGACATTCGGTACAGACATTTATATTGAACAATTGAACGCTCTCAAATGCTAATCACGATGAAATCATTGCGAGCAGCATGAATGTTATTAATTATTGTAGTTCACATTATGTTGATAAAAATGTTATTGTAGTGGAACATTTTTGGGGAGCCATGTTACTGCTCTAGGGCCTTTCTGTGTTCCGTGGCGCATGCGCAGGTATCGTTCTGGCATGGCGGCCGCGAGGCTACCGAGTTTTTACCTTTTGAGACTGTATTTTGTGATATTTTAAGGTTACATTTCGTTTATATTGACAATAAAAAGTTGTTACTAAATCAAATGAGTGTTGGCTCAGCCTCGGAGATATTTTTGACACGGAAAAACGCAGAAGGCGCCTTGCCAGCTACATATTCTTATCAGTGGTGTAGTCCTGAAATGTTAACAAGGGGGGGGCGAAACTTCGGTATTACGGCTGGGGGGAGGGGGGAGCTTGTTTTGCCCGATCGAAAGGGCTTTTCCGAACTCGTTCCTGAGGGACGAACATTTGATCAGTCGCTAATTAATCTTTCTTTTCCCAAAATTGTTGTTGAGCGGAGCATTTTTCACTACCACTTTTTCCTACCACTATTACTTTTCAATGTGAGACACTCAAGTATTTTCAAAATTTGCCAGACTAAATTGTATGGGTATACCCGATGGGACAAAGACAGGGGTGTCACCCCCCCCCCAACACACACATACCAGGGTAGTTTCATCCCTGTTCTCCAAAAGTGTCCTGAACTGGCGGGCGGGGGGGGGGGGAGTTTACAATATGATATTTTGGAAATTCTAAATTTTGTTGTTTTAGTTTTTCTTCTAATAATTGTTGGACAAACATTTAAAATTATGCTTATTAATATTAATAGAAACAATGGCCGTTAGTAATATAAAATATTCTGAGCCTGTCAAAAGGGTATGTAATTCAATGTTTCTGTACCGCTTTTTGTAGATGCAATTCTAAAGATCATTCTCGTTTAAGATTATTCAAAAATGATCCCCCCTGAGCCCCACCCCCCTCCACTACACCACTGATTCTTATCTGTCCGGAAGATATCAGTGTGTTCAAATTAAAAATCACATTTCATCAATAGCTCCTGTTTCATTTGGCGTACCACAAGGAAGTATTCTGGGACCGCTTCTATTTATTTTATTTGTTAACGATCTCCCTTTACATAGTAACCAGAACGTAGATCTTTATGCTGATGATTCCACCTTGCACTCCTCTGGAAATCCCATGAACCAGTTGAATTGCATACTCTAGTCTGCCATGCCATGGAAGACATCGAGCAATGGAGCACATTTAATGGGATGGTGATTAATGGCGAGAAAACAAAATCAATGGTGATTTGTACATATCAAAAATCTACGAAAATTGGCTCTTCTGAACTCCATATCAATTATAACAACACCGTGCTTGAAAATGTAGAATAAAAAAGATGGCTGGGTGTGATTGTTGATAATCATCTCTGTTGGAAAGCCCATATCAATTATCTAGCTTCTAATCTGAGTAAACTTATCGCTCTGTTCCGCCGAATCAAAATGTATCTGCCACTTCAAACAAGGATTCTATTTTATAAAACGTTCTTTCAACCAAGGATTGATTATTGCTGCATCGTTTGGGGACAATCACCACACACTTCAAGAATATACAAACTACAAAAACTTATCCTAAAACTAATTGATGATAAATCTAAACTTTCTCCATCTAAACCACTTTTCGAACAGTCAAACATTTTACCGATAAAGTACAGAGTTATGTATAGGGTAGTTTGCCTAGTTTATAAATCCTTAAATAACTTGACTCCAGACTATTTAAGTAATATGTTCAAAGCATTGTCAACAATTTCCCATGCAGCGACATACAAGAAGCACTGCCAATATGGACTTATGGATACCAAACTATAAACTAACAATCACCAGGAGTGGACTTCGGTACACTGAAGCATATTTTTATAATATGTTGCCACCAGATATTATAGATCTTCCAGCTCATTTCAAGCATTCAAGCGTAAAGCCCATGAATTGTTTTTGGATATGTATAAAAATAACTCGTAAGAGTGATGTACAGTGTATTTTAATTCTAATTTGTTATACCTATATCGATATGTACTTTATGTAATTATGTATACTGTAGTCTGTAGAAATGTAAATTGTACTGCATGTAAATATATTCGATTATATAGTTAACTTTAGAAGGTCCAGTGGAAGATTAGCGAAAGCTAAACTGGCATATTTCCTTGTAAATTAACCTTTTCAATTTCAATTTTATTTTATTTCAATTTTATTATTAGATATCCATCTTTGGCATATAGAAATACAATGGATTTACAAGTTAAAAATATTATACTAAAATACATATATAACCTATGAGAATGTAAAACTTAGAAAGTTTAAAAAGTTTTATATAAATATTTTTTTTTTTTTTTCTGTGTTGGTGTAGTGTACTCAGGTGAATATGATATTTGTGGTGTTACTCTGAGTGTATATCCACACCGGGCGAGCTTGAAAAATAT